TGCCTCTCCTTATATAGATGGGATGGGAGGTAGAGGGTACAAATTTGCATGCCCCACATCGTCTTGTAGGCAGTCCCTTGGACATTCAGATGATGTCATGTGAGGATGCTGCAATAGCCCCCATTGCCGATAGGTAGTATAATGGTGCCATAGTGGCACCACATCGATGTACAATGGGCCTTGTGGCCACCCAGCAACACATGACAACCATTGGCCCCGCTCGCTTAAGCTAAAAAAACAAGCCGGAACAACTGTTCCGCTGATTTGTTGTGAGAAAAAACAACATTTCGGCTGAAAAAACAAGCTGAAAAGTACGGATTATAAGAAAGCGAACATGGCAATGGAGAAGGCTAGAAAGTTCTCTCTCACTCACTTGGCAGTCGCTCGACCAGGAGCTAAGGCTCGCTCCTACTCAATCAACAGTCATTGGGCCAGGAGCTGAGACTCACTTGCACTCACTTAGTAGTCACTCAGCTTGGTTAAACAAGTTCCTATGTGTTGATGATAGAAGTGTCACTCAGCCTTAAGCGCAACATCTTAATAACGATGCTAGTCAGCTAGACTTGCACTTTAGACCTATTATGTTCTCAGGGAGTCCAATACTAGTTACTTTTTAACAATATGCTAAGAGTTGTCTGAGGATTGTTTTGAGTCAGTTGGTGAGTTAATATGCATTTCATGTGTGCAGTTTTAGTAAGGTCATTATTCATTGATTTTATAGTATTTTATCATTACTCTAATGCTTAAAAATATGCTTAATCATGCGTAGCTAATGATGATACCCATGAAAATGCATATGCTTAACACCAAGAGTGTTACAAAATCCAATCTTACAAATTTTGGGTTTTGCCATGGTAATAAAAAATAATGAATATTAGAGAGATTACACAAATGCAAAAAAAAAGCTATCTAAGCTGGATATCAATGTGTTGGTACACCCATAAAAAAAAAATACTGGAGCACTTCTGAACCCCAAACCACTTCTTCCTCATCGTGCTCTACACACTTCGCCATTTCAGCTTGCTCTCTTGCTATAGTCCCAAAGAGTCAGCTACAAAGTTTTGGTATCATTATTGATGTTGACGAAGGGAAACAACCAAACAGAACACGTTGATTTTGCGAGTAAGAAAACAGTCGTTCTCTATATTTTCCCGACGTTGACGACAACACCAAGAGTTAACCAAGAAAACCTGGCGCAACTTTCTGGCCGAATAAATTTCAGACACAGTAGGTAGGTAGTAAGAAGACGTGCATCCCTTGCAGTCGTTTTTTTGCATGCTTTTGAGCCCATCTGTTCAGAAAAGTGCGTTAAAACGTCGAAATCAAACTTGATCCCTATTAGGAAGTACCTGCCGCCATATTTCAACATGACGGAGTTAGGACGACGGCGAGGCTTGCCCTACAAGATTACTAGGATATCACCAGCTAGTACGTGATTATAGATTATATATATACATGTTGTACTGGTACTACGTACTCCATCAACAACGCATACTCCATAACCAACAAAGGCATTGCGTATGTTGTTGTGGAGCGTAAGATTGGCATGGTTCACCAAGAGAGAGACTACTAGCTGTCATGTCAAGTTACAACTATCGTTAGAAATATTATAAGGTTGAAAAGAGGTAATAAAGCTGTATGTTGGAATTGAAAAAAAAAACTATCCCGATCTCGTATAAAAGCCAACATAAACTTTTGATTTGCACACGGTACTTCAGATCTCGAAGTAAGGGCTGAACTGAAGATTTTGGAAGGTTTCGAAGGAGAGGGAGAAGGTAAAAATGAGATGGAGAAACTAGAAATATTCAACGTTTGATGGATTACCAACTATATTTTAGCACTGACAATAGCGTGAATTAAAGGCTGTGTACTGCGGACTACTTTGTCCATATATATGTCAGGTTCGAAGGAGAGAAGCAGGCTTTTAGCTAGCTTGTTAGTAATCTCTAGTGTGTCGGAAGTAAACAACTCGTGATCTTAATTTTGGATTATTAAGACCTAACAAGTACTCAGTAGTGGGGTCCTGGCACATATGCTTGAGCATTTAAAAAAAATTGATTTCTCACCACCTAAAAGCGCTTCGCGATGATGTTGTGCACTTGTGTCAGCTAGCAGAACTGCAGGAGAGTGGCCTCCAAGGCCTTGTTTAGATGGGTGTGAGAAATTAGTATTTGACACTGTAGCACTTTCGTTTGTATTTGATAATTATTGTCCAATCATGGCCTAACTAGGCTCAAAAAATTCGTCTCGTAATACACCCACAACAAAATCCCTGCTTTGTAAAGCTTCTTGGCACGCAGGCACGAAAAACCAGGTTTTTCTGCATGCAACATTGTGCGTGCTTCCCCCCCCCCCAGGTTCGTGTACAGAGGTGAAACCAGCAGCATGCATATGCATGTCTTGTAAGAAGGATATCGGCGGTGGGTCAAACAAGGCCGAAATGCTTTGTTTGCCACGCAGAGGTCCATATGCACGTCCTTCCCTAGCTCATCGTCGTTGATCTCAAAAACAGAGACCGTCAGTTTCGTTAATCAGCACCAGAGCATGCTAAATAAATGGCCCAGTATATATGTACACACACTACGCAGCGGCGCTGTCCTGGACGCATTGCACGGTCGTCGACTCGTCGTTGGCTCGTTGCCGCTGGGCGCGTGCCATCCAGCGCGTACCTTTCTCCGCCGGACGGACGGACGCCACCAGCAGCAGTAGCGAGCTACTCCTCCAGACTGCAGTATACGTCCTGCCTGCGCGCGCGATGGGCTGCTGCTGCCTGCCTGCCCGCACCGCACCCTCGAACTCACTGCGCCCGGCCAGGCGGGGGCGTCGACGTCGCCGCTCTCGGACGCACGCGCGCGCGGTAGATGGACGGTTCAAGTCTTTAGCTGTTGGGGTATCGTCTCTTCCAAGACACTCTACGGTGACCCCATATCTAAAATAAAGCAGCTGATCTCTCGATGGAGTCGGTCCTCCCGCCCTTTCCCACAGCCACAAAGACGCGGGCGCGCACAGCACAGCACACCTGGCGTTGCGTTGCTGCGCGCGGCACGTAGGGTGGTGGCGTGAGGTGGAACGTCCGGCCTCCCTCGATCGGGCACGCGAATCAGGTTGCCCCATCTTCACTCCACCACCACCCCGCCCGGCTGCGCTGCGGCTAGCTGCCATGCCACCCTCACGCTTTAGCAAGTTTCCTTTGCCCCGGCCTGCGCACCCTTTATCTCCCCTAGCTATAGCAGTATAGCTCGCTCGATCTACAGGTTGCCTCGCTCCCTCGTCAGCTCCAAAACACGATCGACCACCAGTACCCAGTGATCGAGGAGAGGGGTGATGTAGATCTTGGGCACCACCCACCACACCACGGACGCGTCTGTGCTCTGTATTCTATTCTCTATCGCCGGGACACGCATGCAAGTAGTTTCAGCTAGTCGCAAGTGACGATATATAGACGTGTCCTCTCTTAATTACCAGAAGAAAACAAACACACCGATCACCCGCGGCCGGTCTCCATGCGTTATGCTTACACATGATGTACTCCTAGCTTCTAGCTAGTTTACCAACCGACGATTGGCTATAACTAGCTCTGTACAGTAATGATGAACGAACAGTGAACAGTCTTTGTTTTCCTGGCCGCTGGTGATCCTGTAGTGCGTGTCGATCGTGTGCGTGCGTACGAAACGTGTGTGCATGGCCCACGGCTGCACTTCTGCATGCACCGTCGTCAGCGCGGTCGCATCGTGCGTGCCGGCCGCCAGGCTAAACATTGATCGACACCCTAGCTGGTTCCTGTGTTCTCACGGTGAACTTCACACTTTGTGTGTCCGACGTCTAGCAGCTACTGGCTGCTGCGTGTCGTGACTTGTGAGACAAGTAGTAGTAGGTTTCTGTTTCTCTCCATTTCTTGGATTGCAAGAAGCCTGCCCGACCGATAAGCCGGACAGTCGACGGCTGACGGCTCATACATTATCCTGGTCTGCTATATGTGTGTAGTATATGGCAAATCGGTCAGGTCAGCAGGAGTGTTTTCAGACGTGCAAACATTAACCGTCGTCAGATAAATGGACGTCGACGTCAGATGGGGAGGAGGGGCACGCCGCACGCACCATCCCATCCCCCCATGGATGTGCACGCAGCAACTCGCGATGTGTACGTGGACCCCGCGCAGAGAATCCGGCGCCCGGCCTGGCCTGGTTTCCGGCTCACGGTCACGGCTTCCTCCGTTGCATGCCCCCACCATTCGCCCAGGTCCGTCGCCCCTGCCGCCGCCTCCTGCCCCCTCCCACCCTCTTGTTCTGCTAAACGTGTTCCCGCACACGCAATCACGCATCGACACACGGATCCGTAGCTACAGCGACTGCGGCTCGGTCGAGATCAGCTAACAACCTTGCTGCGCTTCCATCTCTCTCGATCGGCAAGTAGGGCTACGTTTAGTTCCACCAAATTTTCAACTTTGACACTATGCAAAAAGAAGATTCCCCGTCACATCAAATTTGCGGTACATGTATGAAGTAATAAATGTTGATGAAATAAAAAACTAATTACACAATTTGGTTGTACTTTACGAGACGAACGTTTTGAGTCTAATCAGTCAACGATTGGACAATTAGTACCAAATAAAAGCAGCCTTGCTGTCCTGTCCGTGTCCTGCGATCGATTGA